GCGTCGTGCGAGACGTCTGCGTCGTGCGAGACGTCTGCGTCGTGCGAAACGTCTGCGTCGTGCGAGACTCTGCGTCGTGTGAAACATCTGTTCACGGCTTCCTGCTCTCACTTCATGCTGCTGGTGAGTCTAAAGCTGAGGTTCTGGTTCTCCAGAGGGTCGCTCTTCTCTGACGGGACGGACCGGGACAGACTGGAGACCTCGCTGCCCAGCCGGTACCTCCTCTCCAGGTCCGGGGAGCCGCCGTCCCACGGCTCCTCCCCCCCGACAAAGCCGGGGTCGTGTAAGGTCATGTAGGTCACGCTGTAAAAACAAAAAGAGACGTGAAGCACGACGTCAGGACACCAGATGTGGAGGTGAGCTCTAATACACGAACATCCCATAATCACAATGTCAGTACGTGATGTTCACCGAGTTACAATCATGTTATTACAAGTGGAGACATTTTATTATATGAGTCATTCTGCCTAACATGAGATAAATCGTGTTTGATAAATAAACATCCAGTGAAGATGAGATACTCACCAGGTTATGGACCACAGGTGAGAAATAATGAAATTGTGTAAAATGAATTGTGACATATTTTAGGAAATGATTATAATTTCATCGATTATTATGAAATGATGACAGGTTCACATTGACTCTGCTGCTTCTCATCTTTTTACTTTTAATGATGATAGCTGCAATCTTTTGTTTTTTTCTTGTTCAATATTGTTCATTTTTACCACTTCAGGTCTCTGAAATATATTCGAACTAACTATTTATTCTCTGATCAATTTATGACTTCTGATCTATTTTTCCTCCATAACTCGTCTTCTGTCAAACGAGTTATTTATTTTATATTTTGTCTGTTTACGTCTGTAGATTTCATTATGTAAGTTACCGTTACATAATGCTTCATTTACATATTTAAACATAACATTTCAGTAAACTTGTGATACAATAGATAATGCTCTTAATGTGAGTGATGAAGTGGTGAAGTTTCATGCTGATATCTATGAGTTCATGTTGTGACTCTATTCACCTGTAGAGTCTT